AGTCTTTGCAACTTTACAGATCTTCTTTATGCACCAAGAGCTTGTAACACTCCAAAGAGAAAGGAAAAATTGAAATCACATCATATGACCCCTTGAAACGAAAGGATTCAATATTCATTAATTGAGAAAGGCTGGACAGTTCATGGTTTTTTGGAGCAGATTTTAAGAAGAGAGGGATATAAAATATGTTGATGTCCAGGTTGTGCGATCGACTGTGTTGAGTTTCTCACCAATATATATGAAGCAACTGGTGTCCATCATCCTAAATCATCACCATATGTGGAAATAAAGACACAATGAGAAGATGAAACAAAGATCAGATTGGGAGCTCCGAACAGCAGCGATATAATTATGAAACAATCATATAAGAAAACAGAGGAAATAGGACACACAGCTACTTATGACACGCCAATGGTGTTACGATAAATCCTAGAGCTTAAAGTCAACATGAAATCAAATTAATACACATTCCTGGCATCCACTTTCAAATATTTAGTCCCAGATTTTTCATTAAATATTATGTTTCACTTTACACACCCTTAACACATTATATTGTGGATGGAAAATAGGTGGTGAATTATGTTTCATGTTGACTTTAATTATGTTGATGACAACCATTATTAAAAATGGTTGGATTGTGGGTAGTTACCATTTTTCAGTGCTAATTCATTGCTGCTTTATATGCTGATATATGATAGCTACATACAAGCAAAACAAAAATAAACCATTGATCAGTTTTCCATTCAGCTGATAAAATCAGACCAAACCAGACAAACATTCAGGTTAAAGTGTGTTGTGCCAACAATGTGCATCTCAGTTGATGTTTCAAGTGTCACTTGGCTCTCGAAAAGCTTCAGACAAGAGTTTTAGGAGTCAAACGGCAGAGATAGTTTGATGGTGCTGAAGGGTGTCTCTTGGGCGTTTTATATAGTTGTGAGTATTGATGAAGGAATAACACTATGAGACCATGTTACATTGTCTGAGTCATGTGATGACAGTAATAAAACATTCTGTCATCTTTTCACAGAAAGTCAGACAAACACATATTGTGTCCAAAGATGGTTGCTGGGATCAAACGGCCTTTTCCCAAGGGCCTTATATGTTCCAAGTTGCTACATAAAGTTCAAGTACAAGCATTAAAAGATCTCAGTCTTCTTTCAGGTACTCTCTGAAATTCCTGAGCGTGAGAACAATAGCCATTCACTGGCTGTGACTGGCTCTTTTTTCCGTCATTGAGCCATGATACGTTGCCACATATTAAAGGTCCATTCACATGACTCATGTCAGGGCTTTAACACAACTAATCCTCTATGAACTTTGACCTTCAAAGACAAAAGCAAATTCACGAGGTTGCTAGGTAGTAAATAGTGAACTTAGTGAAAGCCAACGGAAGAGGTAACACATATTTGAGCTTTAAACAGGATAAAAGTCCCACTGTTTGCACCGCTACATCATAGAACGACTGCTGGCATTTCAGCAATTTCACTAACATTTCAGCACAAAAACCTGTGTCTCATTCACTAACCACCCAAAATCCAGATTAAATACTCTCTATATGAGCTGGTTTAGTGCCATGTGCATCTAAATTAATGTAATTATTTCCGTCACTTCTATTCAATTGATGCTTTTCATAGAATGCGAGTAACTTGCAAAAAGTTCATGCTATTTGCTTGCAATTGTACATTTTTAGAGATTAAGCAAGCCATAATGTAGCCATTAAGATGATCAAACCATTAGTGAGGGGTGTCATAACTGGCCATTTATTCTTAATCAGTCAACTGGAGTCAATTTAGTCCACTGAATCACTGTGGAAAAGCAATGATGTCCTGAAGCATACCATATTGTGGAAGTCCGCTGGGATTGTGGCATTAAAAATGGGTTTGATACTATTTTTTGGCAATATTTATGCCAAGGTACTAAACCAATAAAGACAGCACATGCAAATAAATACCTCCCCCCACCAAAAAAAAGTCAAGATATGCCTTTTGATATTGTCTTGTACAATGTTTCTCATCTGTTTTCATTTTTGCATTGGCACTGCTCACATGAAGATAAATCATGCAAATTATCTGGTAATCGCTGGTTATATTTAAAAAGATCAGCAGCAAATGAGGTCAAAGTTGAAATCATCTTAATTTTGAGAGTCATGTTGTACCATTTGACCTGTGCGCCAACACATCAGGGAATGTTGACGTGAGTCATGTGAAAGAGCCTTAATACTTTCTACATTCTCAATTTACGTATTTCCATTAAAAGGATTGACATAAAAGACATTTTCAAAGACAGGTGATAATTAGGAAGTAATTCACATTTCACAGGAATACAACATGGGCCACATAAGAAGTGGGGGAAGAAACAGTTTGTGGCTAATGGTACTGCTTAAAAAGTTTTTTTTTTTTTTTTAAATCTGTGTAGCTAGAGAGAATCTAAATGATCATTGATATAAGCACAAATGTTTGCTCTAGCCCTAAGCGTTCAACAGTGCAAAAAGTCCACGGTGGAGGGAGTCCTCATTTTGGCACGAATATCATTTTCCAGTCAAAAGCATACACACACACTAAATAGACTCATCAGTAGGATAATAAAAGCCAAAAAGGGTGACTTTACACGTAAAACCAGCTCCCACACAAAAGCAAGTGTCGGTGGAATTGAAACGAATGTTGTCGGGTGCCACATTTTTTCGTGAAATCATTTTGTCTATAACAAATTCTGTTGAGAACAAGTACTCAAAGATATAACCTCAGAGAGTGTCCAGAAAGACGAAAACTGTTATAGAAATTTGTTAAAACTACATAACGTTTCAAAATACACAGCAATTAGGTAAATCGTATTTTCTTATTGATTGTTTCACATATCTGCAAAGTCAATAAATGTCTCTTACCTTAAATATATGCATATAGATAGCATTTTTTTCATTATATTTCTTTCATATATATACATATGCAGATAAATACTCTCAAAAGTGCGCCTGGAGTGTTTTATAGTTATCGGTTTGAACTCTACATCAGGCTACGAGAGCCACTTGGGGTCCTCTGCAGTGCAAGGCGGGGATCAGGGGGTATATACTGGTGAGGGTGGTTATACGGTGGTGGAGGTGGAGGCAAGGGCGGTTGTGAACCGTCGTTGTTTCCTCCCTGGTTGCCTCCGCCATCGGGTGAGCGCACTGGTGTGGAGACGACAGACTGGATGAGCTGGTGATGAGTGGGGCTCTGGCTGAGGTACGCCTCCATGCGTCCATGACCGCCTTTGTCCAAGACGATGACCTTGACGATTTGCTGGCACTGGATGAGCGTGTCGGGTCGTATCTCGGCCAGGGTCACGGGCTGGTAGGAGTGTAAGGGGGTGTGGCTGGCGCATTGCAATGGAGGCTGCTGGAAGAGCTCCCTCTGGTGGTTGAGAAGGGCGGTGCTCTCAGGGCTCTGCGGTGCTGCGTTGAGCTGGTACGTCTGAAGCCTGTTGTGAATTGACACCTAGTTTAGAAAACAGTCAGAGATAGCATCATATGTTATAAGACTGTTCTCCTTCTACCGCCATCAGCCCTCCGGTGAACACACATCACAATAGACATGCGCAAAGTGTTGCGTGTGGACGTGGCACAAGGGGTTTGCTCGGTGTCTTGCGACTCGGACAGAGGATGGGAAGCTGGAATTGGGGATGCAGATGTGGAGGGTTTAGGGGACCTTGTGTTTGTGTCTATAAGGTGCGTGGTGGTTATTAAGAGGACACTGAGGGCACCTGTGTCTCCCTTGGAAACCACTAGAGCATTATGGGAATAGAGAATGAAGAACACTTCAGGGAAGAAGGGGGACAAGAAAGGGTGGGACAGGTTAAACAATGGGAAGGGGGTAATTGCACAACTACAGACGAGACACACCGAAAGCATGCCATCAATATCTCTCAGAAGGTTCAGGACTTAAAGGGTTAGCTCACCCAAAAATTACAATTCTGTCATTAATTACTCACCGTCATGTTGTTCCAAACCCATAAGACCTACGTTCATCTTCGGAACACAAATTAAGATCTTTTTTGATGACATCTGAGAGCTCTCTGACCCTGCATAGACAGCAACACAACTGAAATGTTCCCAGACCCAGAAACTTATAAGGACATTGATAAAACAGTCCATGTGACATCAGTGGCTCAACTTCAAATTTTGAAAAGCTATGAGAATACTTTTTGTGCGCAAAGATGACAAAAATAACATAATTTATTCAACAATTCTTCTCCTCGAGTTACCATCTTCCGCCATTTTGGAGAGTATCATGACGCATAATCAATGCGTAATCAGCGTTGTTTACGTTCAGGAGAAAGTGTGCGCATTTATTCGAATTGTTGAATAAATTATGTAATTTTTGTTTTCTTTGCACACAAAAAGTATTCTCATAGCTTCACAAAATTGAAGTTGAGCAACTGATGTCACATAGACTGTTTTACAGATATCCTTACTACGTTTCTGGGTCTGGAAACATTTCAGTTGTGTTGCTGTCTATGCAGGGTCT